GAATCTTCCTGCTGTGCATGTTGTAGGCTGTCCTTCCATTCATTGCTGAGCTGGTCTGTCCTGAATATCCTCGCAGATACCACTTCTTTACCCTCTTGCCTAGTACAATGCTTGCAATCTTCAGGGCAAGGTCTTCTTGACAATGCATCTGCATTGCCATGAGATTTCCCGCTGCGATGTTCGATCACAAAGTCGTATTCCTGCAGTAGTTCAATCCATCTCGCAACTTGTCCTTCCGGATTTTTGAACTGCAATAGCCATTTCAGTGCAGCATGGTCAGTTCGTAAGTGGAATTTCCGCCCTAGAAGATATTTGCTAAAATGCTGCAAGGACTTTACCACAGCAAGCGATTCCCGTCTTGTGACACAATAGTTCCTTTCCGGCTTTGACAACGACTTGCTGAAGTACGCTATCACAATCTCTTGATCACCATTCCGTTGAGACAACACACCGCCAAGTCCTATATCACTTGCGTCTGTGTCAACTATGAATTCCTTGCCCGCATCAGGGTACCCCAAAATAGGTGTTTTGCACAGACAGTTCTTGAGCTCCTGGAATGCAATATCGCAATTTTCATCCCAGCAGAAATGTCGCTTCTCCTCGGTTAGCTTGTGCAGAGGTTTGGCTATATCTGCAAAGTTCTTCACAAATCGCCGATAATAAGAGCACAAACCCAAAAATGCTCTAACCTGTGTCTTGTCTTTTGGGACCGGCCACTCCTTGACAGCAGCAATTTTCTCTGGATCCGTGCGGATACCTTCTTCCGACACTACATACCCCAAAAAACTAACTTGCCGTTTGAATAGTGAGCACTTCTTCGGACTCAACTTGAGGTTGGCACTCTGGATCTTCATGAGCACGCGTTCCAGGTTTTGAAGGTGTTCCTCAAACGTACGGCCTACGATGATGATGTCATCCAAATAGACCAGACAGGCATCTCCAATTAGCTCGGTAAGTACAAGCGCCATCAACCTTTCAAACGTTGCTGGAGCATTGCACAATCCAAACGGCATGACTTTAAATTGCCACAGACCCTTTCCTGTGGAGAACGCAGTTTTTTCCTTGTCCTTAGGGTCAATTTCAACCTGCCAGTAGCCACTTTTCAGATCCATCGTACTAAACCACTTTACGCCTGTAAGCATGTCCAGCGTGTCATCAATTCTTGGCAAGGGATAGCTGTCATTCTTCGTAACGTCGTTCAGGCGGCGGTAGTCAACACAAAACCGCATGCCGTCCTTCTTCTTTACCAGCACCACAGGTGAACACCATGGACTAGATGAAGGTTCAATTACACCATCCTTCACCATTCCCTCAATCATGGTTTCCACTTCCTTTTCACGTGCTACAGGCAATCTTCTTGGCCGCTGACGAATAGGCAATTCTTGTCCTGTGTTTATTTTGTGTTGAACTGTCAGCCAGTCTTTCCTATGTCAGCTTCGTTTGACGAGAAAACATTGGCGTACTTGAGTAACAACTTCTTCGCCTTGACCATTTCATTCGGGGAGAGAACGCTGCGACAGTCTTCTAAAAGTGTGGTCACTCTCGTTTGTCCATCCTTGCTGGGGGTTCCAGTCGATAGATATTCGCACCGACGCAACCAATCCACTTCCTCACTAGTACCAACCAATGTGCCTTTTTCAATAATCTGTTCCTGATCACAAAGGTTCAACACACGTACTCCTGAGATGTCGGTGGTTCTGACCAAGGTTCGAGCCACTTTCCATGGAAGGTCATTGTCTACTCTTTCCACGAGTACACAACGATGAGCTTGCCCAGAACTCCGAGGAAGACTAACCGGCACAATCGTTTCCGATCTCGGCGGAAGAACAATTTTCTTAAGGCTGTACACATTCCCTGGTAACGCCCCTTCCACGAAAAGTTCCTCTTGTCCACATTTCAAAACACCTTGCTTAACGTCGATCTCACAACAATTCTTCCTCATAAAGTCTAGGCCCAGGATGCAGTCGTCCATTATATCAGCCACGATGACATTATGCAGGTAGATCATGTTGCCTAGCTTCATCTCCATCTCCTTCTCTCCACAGACGGGTATGCGCTGACAGGTGGCTGTTACCAAATTAATGCGTTCGCGGTTGTATGCGGAGTCCCCAAGAAACTGATTTATAAGTTGGGAACTGACAACCGTGCGAGAAGCTCCAGTGTCTATGGTCAGTTTACACGGCTTTCCGTTGACCTCGCCCTTGATGATCAGGCTGTTTCCATCACGGGTTTGTGAGATCGAAATCCTTGGGGCTCTTTTAACATCAGCCAGCACCCGCCAGTTTCCCTGCTGCTGCTGGGCGTTGCTGTCAGCCACACTACCCTCTCGACATCGTTCACCTTCCCTTTCTACAGTTCGTTTAGGGCAGCTAGATCGAAGATGGCCCCTTTCCCCACAGCCGTAGCACCTAGGGCTTTAGCCCTTATTGCGGTCCTGAACTGTAGCTGCTGCAACCTCCCTGACGCGGTGGGAACGATGATCCTGCCGCACGGCTTCCACCTCCAGTGCATGGGTCAAGGCGTCCTTAAGCGTCTCGTGGTGCCCGAGCCTCACAGCAGCTCTGACTTCAAGGTCGCGGATGCCGTCGATGAATGTCTGTACCAGGTTCCCTACAATGAGCGCAGGTACAGACTGGTACGCTTTTCGAACCAGCTTCTCCACCTCAAGGGCCCACTGCTGCAGGTTTTCGTTACTGCGTTGCACGCGATCTTTGAGCTGTGCACGAAAGACGTGTTCCAGGTGAGCATCGCCATATCTCGCCGCCAATGCCTCAAGGAGCTGCTCGTAAGTCACTTCCTTACCGAGAGCTTCCAGAACAGTTAATGCCTGGTCGCGTAGGCCTAGAGTGAGAGCAGTCATGGCCTGACTTTTATTCCAGCCGTTCGCTTTCATGACAGCCTCGAACTGGATTTTGTAGGCCGACCAGCAAGAAGTCCCGTCGAACGGCGGCACTTTGAATCCACGTAGCGAAGGTGTTGTAGCTACCACGGGAACTGTAATTCCATCCCCAAGTTTGAGGTTGTCCAGCGTTTTCTTCACATCAGCCATCACGTTGTCAACCCGATTGTTCACTTGGTCGATTCGGGTTTCAGCTTCCGACAGGCGGTTGTCATGTTGAGCAACCCTAGCCTTCACCTCCTTTATCTCTTTCCCGAAGGTAGCGTGAAGGTCCTTCCTGAGGAGCATCTGTTCTACCATACCGCGCTGCAGCTGCTCTTCCAACCAACGGGTCTGTTCCTCCTGTCGGCGAGCCTGATCCTGCAGCATCATCATCAGAGCACCTAAGTCAGGTGCAGGAGCAGATGCAGGAGCTGCTGACGGGCCGGCCTCCGTGGTTAGCAGCTGGCCCTCCGACGTTTGCGGCGTTGCATTACCAAATCGTCTCTGGTCCGTCTCCTGTTGGCGTTGACTTCGAGTACGGATACCCTTCGTGTCGTCTTTAGGTAAAATCGGCATATTTGATCCCACTTCTGACACCAATTGTTACGAACTTGGGGTTCGAGACAATTAAAAACTGCCGATTGAATTACCAAAATTAACACTTTAATTACACAACACTAATTACAATCCGAACAAAAACAGTTTCACTGTAAAGCATCGCGCCAAGTACACTTTCAACTATAGTTACAAAAATAATAATTACATTTTTACAAAAAATTATAAAATAAAAAGAAACCAAGTACATACCCGTTTTAGATTCGAAAAAAAATTTTCCTGAAAAAAGTAATAATAAAAAAATGGTGTACTTGGTGTGCATGATTAAGAGTATCGATCACCCAACTTGACATTGGAAGTCGTTTTTTTATTACTTTTTTGAGTGATGCTCGTACTATAAAGTACCTATAATGCACACCAAGTACATCATTTTTTTATTATTACTTTTTTCAGCAAAATTTTTTTTCGAATCTAAAATGGGTATGTACTTGGTTTCTTTTTATTTTATAATTTTTTGTAAAAATGTAATTATTATTTTTGTAACTATAGTTGAAAGTGTACTTGGCGCGATGCTTTACAGTGAAACTGTTTTTGTTCGGATATCATATCTTTTTGTAAAGTACACAATTTCTTTTTTTTTTTGCAAGTATCGCACACCTCATACCGCGAAGCGGTTTAGGTTGTGCTTTAACTCTCAACACGTCAAGGTCCAGAAATTTTTTGCTCTTTAACTACCTCTACATCTACAACTGATTTGCACTCATACGATAAATCACAAAGTAAAATGCCTCTGCATTTATTATTATAAGTAATAATTTCCAAAGCAGTAGTCTCTTAAAAGTACAAAAGACAAACGGACAGGCGAAATTTCAACACTTTGTTTTAATATCTTTTGATAGGTTAGCAAGTATACACAGTAAATAACATTAAATCCAAAATTATTTGGTTATAACATACCCATTATTGATTTTAGACATTAATAAATAAACAGCAAGTTATTGTTTTAAAATGGTTATGATAAAAAAAAACACAATACATAATATCACTGTATTTACTATTGTTCATTATTATTTTCGTTTCTTCAAAGTAGCACAAACAATCAGGTGTGGTGTGGATACTTTGTTTACATAATGTATTGATTGATTGGTTAGTATACATCCTAAACACCATTTATGTTAAACAGACAGGCACAGTATGTGTACTTTGTTTTAAAATATGTTAACAGATTATTACCCACACCCCCAACACCATTAAAGCCAATGACTAGGTAATAACATGTTTATCTAATGTTACGAGTAGTTGCCGGAATCACGCGAGCAATGCCGACCAGGCTGGCGCCGCCAGGGCGCGCCGAAACACGACACTATGTATCCGAGCGTCGGCGTGTGCGACAGGTCTTGTGAGAATAATAACTTGAGTGTTAAAAGTATTAAATGAAACTAAAGTGATTGAATGTATTGAGGTATAATGAACAGTTGATTGTACAAGTGAATTAAATTGTATTGCAGCATAAGAAACGTTTCATTTTACATTCAGAAGTGGGATTTTAATAAAAGAACTTAAAATGAAGCGATCAAAAAAATATAGGAACAGTGTCCTTTTAAACAGTAACTCAAAAAAATCTAGATCTCAGTCGGATATCGCGACTAGTGCTGGGACGTTACACATAGATCAAATACATAGTCATGGGTCATCTAATCACGGTGATTCTGAAGAAGATATACATCCTAATGTGTTACTTGAGCAATTATTAACCGATAAATTAGAAAAGATGGTTGAAAAGTTTTGTGGTGATTCACGGCCGTTGCGGAATGTTTCGGGTGAGAAAATTATACCTACGTTTGATCCGGATAATTATGACACTAATATTAAAAATTGGTTGGCAAAAATTGATCAATTAGGTATGGTTCACAAATGGAATGACTACTCTAAAATAGTCATAATGCAAACTCGTCTTGTAGGCCAAGCTCAGTTATGGTTTAGTCGTCTTGACGAATATAATTATACTTGGGATCAATGGAAATCTTTATTGATCAAAGCATTTCCTAGAAGTTTCGAGTATGCTGACATGTTAGAAGAATTAGTATCCAGGAAAAAGTTGCATAATGAAACAATCACACATTATTATCATGATAAATTAGCAATGTGTCATCGCTGTAGACTTGACGACGCCGCCTCTCTCTCTTGTTTAATTAAAGGGCTGCCACACGATTTACAAAATAATGCAAAAGCATTTAAATGTGAAACCCCTGAACAATTCTATTCAGGTTACTTGTCCGCTTTTGAGAATTATAAAAATAAACCGGATCTGAGAAAAGTAGAATCGACCAACATAAGTTATACACGTAATAATAGATTAGAAGCGGAGAAGCGAAATTCTGATTTAGCCATACCAACCACATCACGTCCCTGGCCACCATCGACCTCCCGGCGAATGAATTGCTTTAGATGTAATTCTACTGAGCATATGGTTAAAGATTGCCCTGTTCCGGATAGGAGAGTGTGTAGATTTTGTTCTGAAACCGGACATAATATAAATCGTTGCCCCAAAATAGAAAATATGATGAATAAATCGAAGGGCCAATCCGTGTCGATAAATTTAGTGCAAAACTTAAATGATATTTATAAAAAAAGCGTGGAGGTAGCGGGAAGAATTTTTTCTGGTTATTTGGATACTGGAGCACAGTTAAATGTAATATCCTTAAGTGCAATTAAAATATTAAATTATGACGTACGACCAACAGATGCATTGCTAAAAGGATTTACTGGAAATACAGTGCCGGCTATGGGCCGAGTAAATCTAACAATGACTATTGATGGTCTGAGTTTCAATACCACAGCAGTGGTGACGCATACGAAGCTGCCTGCCGAGGTTGATATACTGATCGGACAACCTGTAATTAACTCTGAAGGCATATCACTCGTCACAACTCAGAATTCAGCTCTATTGAAAGAGAATAATGTGTACGATGATAGTTTCTCTGGAAAATATAAAGTAACAAGCTGTTCAGACGTTCAAATTCAACCACAGGAATCCATATTTGTGGAAGTTAATATTGTGGGGAACAGCCCTGCTTGTGATGTTTGTACTTCACCGAGAGTCCATGACTTAAACAACAAATACTTCGTGGTACCTGCTGCCTTACTAACTGGACAAAATGGATATTTACGCATTTACAACATGGGACGAGAACATTTAAAATGGAGGAAAGGCGACTTAGTTACACGAGCTGCGCCGTGTGAAATTATGCAAAACGAGTCAGCGGAGAAGCGGGTGGGAGGTTGTAACAATGCAAAACTACATGCAAATAAAATGAAGGTGCGTAATTGTTTTTATATATTTAATCTGTCTGTGGCTTCGAGCTTTCTGTCTGTATTACAAATTCTGTCTGCTCTGTATAAGTCTGTTCTGTGCTGGTCTGTTCTCTATAGGTCTGTTCTGCACCAGTTTCTTTCTGTTCCACACCTGTTTCTGTCTTTTGAGTATATGCTCGACTGTATTATTACTGCACTTTCATAAACGACATGATTTCTGTGCGAGTTTATATTAATTAGCTTGATGGTTATACATTATTGCTTTTTACTGATACTGAACTTAAGCCGCGGTAACTCTGGGGCGGAACGCTCGTTGTGGAATTCGCGGTGCGTGAGCGGCTCGATCAATCTGTCATCTCATATTCTGATTTTCAACATACAAAAAAAAAGGGTTTGTGCGATCCGTGGGACGTGTGTGAGCTGTAGCCTTACTTATGCTGTAATTAACGAAATATTACAATTCTGACTGCTCCTGAAGTACTGTGTATATTATTATGCTTCTTACACCTGATTTAGTGACCGCTACATAACTTAATCAAGGCAAAATGATACAAATAAAACGGTCAGTCACAGTTTTCTAGTAATTAAGTTTTGGAGGCTGCAATCTCAACCTAACTATTGATGATTTTCTGTTGTTACACTTAACTTTTATTACTTAGTTGTTAACACTTGTCCACATAGCTGAAATGACTGACTAAAATTTAGCAGCGGTACTTATAGCTAGCATTTTCATTTTTACAATTATGAAAATTGGTACATGACGGCTTAAATCAATTTTGCTTATGTGCTTCCACAGAGGTCTGAGTTAATACAAGTCAACAACATAACAAATCTTACATCAGCTAACACTCTTGAGCATTTACGTACCTTAAAACTTGCAAGTACACCGGTTCCTGACATAGCTGTAGGCGATTTATGTGACTATGACCAATGTCAATTGTTTGAGCTGTTACTGAACTACCAAGATTGTTTTGCTGCTAATTCACATGATCTCGGAGTAACGAATTTATCGGAAATGACTATTGAGTTGACTTCGAAGACTCCAGTGTTTCATAAGCCATATAGGTTAGGGTATAAAGAACTCGAAATTGTACGAGCCAAGGTTAAGGACTTACTGGATGCAGGAATCATTAGAGAGTCGCAGTCTAATTACGCATCACCAGTTGTCCTAGTAAAGAAAAATAATGGAGATAGTCGGCTTTGTATTGATTACCGAGCACTCAACGCTATTACCGTCAAAGATCGATTCCCTTTACCTCAAATCGACGATCAATTGAATAAGTTATCAGGCAAGTGCTTTTATACCAGTTTAGATTTGGCACAAGGCTACCATCAAATTCCACTAGCGAGTGAATCTACGAAGTTCACAGCCTTCATTACCCCAGAAGGGCAATGGGAGTATACACGGGTCCCTTTTGGATTAGCCAATGGACCGGCGGTGTTTCAAAGGACTATCTATAAACTACTGGGATCATTACGTTATGAGGATGTTTTAACTTTTATGGACGATTTATTACTACCATCATTAGATGTTAACAAAGGCCTGTTGATATTGGAAGAAGTTTTGCAGCTTTTGAGGAAGGCTAATCTAAAGTTAAATTTGAAGAAGTGTGCGTTCCTCAAAACTGAAATAAATTATTTGGGACATGTGGTAACACCTCACGGAATACAGCCCGGTGATAGAAAATTAGACGCTATGACGAATTTCCCTACGCCTAAGAATGTCCATCAAGTACGACAATTTATGGGATTATGTTCGTATTTTCGAAAATTTATCCACAACTTCGCAATTATAGCAAGACCTCTTACTGAATTAACTAAGAAGAATGTGAGTTGGAATTGGGGAGACGAAAAAAATTGCGCCTTTTCGAAATTAAAGTTATTGCTTTCTAATAAACCGGTCTTAGCGTTACATAATCGGAACTATGACACAGAAATACATACAGACGCCTGTAAATTAGGTATAGCAGGCATACTTCTTCAGAAACAACCAAGCGGTGAGCTCAAACCCGTATTATATTTTAGTAGGGTAACAACAAAAGAAGAAATGATTTACCATAGTTACGAGTTGGAAACACTGGCGGTTGTTGAATCTCTGAAACGTTTTAGGATCTACATCACGGGCATACGTTTTAAGGTCGTAACGGACTGCTCAGCTGTACGGAGTACTCTTACAAAACGAGATTTGGTACCCAGAATCGCACGTTGGTGGCTTCAAATACAAGACTTTGACATGGAAGTGGTGTATCGCCCTGGTATTAATATGCGCCACGTTGACGCACTTAGCCGAAATCCGGTACCTGAAATTTTAAATGTGGAAATCACTGAAGATTGGTTCTTGACAGCTCAGCTCCAAGATGAACAGCTACAATCTATTTTCCATCAGCTTAAGAGCGGTAACCCCAACAATGACTTAAAAAATAATTATTGTATTAGAGATCATCGCATTTATCGGAAAACACTTAATGGCGAACGTCTTGCTGTACCCAAAGCTGCTCGTTGGCGGATAATGAAAATGTTTCACGATGATATCGGTCATGTAGGCTTAAAAAGATGCGAAGAAGCTATTAAGGCAGACTACTGGTTTGCGCGTATGAGTCGATTCATCAAAAAATATGTCGGAGCCTGCTTGGAGTGTTTATTTAAAAAGGGGAATTATGGTAAAACCGCTGGAAAGATTTACCCTATATCCAAACCCGAACAGCCTATGCACACAGTACATATAGATCATATGGGTCCGTTTCCTAAATCCACAAAAGGGAATCAATATATATTGGTGATCATTGATTCATTCACCAAATTTATAGCAGTAAAACCAACAAGAAGTACCCGTTCTGTAGAAACAGTCTTAGTATTACGTGAAATATTTGCCATCCTTGGCTATCCAAACCGCATTATATCTGATAGAGGACTATCCTTCACGAGTAGATACTTCAAGGAATTTTGTATTACTCATAAAATTCATCACACTCTTAACGCTATATCTATACCGCGCGCCAATGGACAGGTGGAACGGGTTAATAGGACCTTGCTAGATGCCTTGCGGACAAGCACACAGATACCATCTGCATGGGATGCTAAAATTCCTGAAATTGTCATGGGAATTAATCACACAATACATGATACAACGAAATACAGTCCTTACGAACTTATGTTTGCACACAAGAAAAATCTAGTCCCTGATTTAACAGGTAATAGTCTAGAGATATCTTGTAAAGAGAAGCGTAAAAGGGCAAGTGAAAAAATAAGAAAGAAACAAAAATATATGGAGACCAAGTGTAATGAAAGTAGAAAAGAAGCTAAGAAATATAGAAAGGGAGAATTAGTGTTGTGGAATAATGCGTTCACAAATTCAGAGACTGGCGTCAGTCGCAAGATAGATAAGATGTATGCAGGACCTTATAAAATTATTCAAGTGTATCTTAACGATCGTTACAAGATCCGCAGTGTAAAGGGGATGAAAGGCTATAAGAGTTTCGTTGCAATGGTACCAGCTGGCTCATTGCGGCCGTACAAAAGTTCTATCGGTTATGAAACGGATTCTGCTGATAGCGATAAAGAAGTGGTGGATACGCACGATCTGATTGATTTGTTAGAAAGTTAATCCGTTGTGAACTGTAAGTAATCGATGTACCTACATCAGTCATTTCAGCTGTAGCAAATATTCTGAATGTTATCTAATGACTCTTCGTGAATACCTTATGGTATTCACTTTGCAGGATGGCCGATGTTACGAGTAGTTGCCGGAATCACGCGAGCAATGCCGACCAGGCTGGCGCCGCCAGGGCGCGCCGAAACACGACACTATGTATCCGAGCGTCGGCGTGTGCGACAGGTCTTGTGAGAATAATAACTTGAGTGTTAAAAGTATTAAATGAAACTAAAGTGATTGAATGTATTGAGGTATAATGAACAGTTGATTGTACAAGTGAATTAAATTGTATTGCAGCATAAGAAACGTTTCATTTTACACTATGTTAGTACACACTGATAAATAGTGGGGAAATAAGATGTTCAAACTGGACATATGACAGAGACAATAACATGTCTTTATGATTTTGTTATGAATCACAAGTACATTTTCAACAATAACAGATATGAGATTAAACTGTTGTTTTCAATATCTATAAATTGCATATTCATATTTCTGTTGTCTTTCCATATTCTGTTGTACCTACCGAGAGGTCTGCAAGCTTTCAGCCTGCAAGGCATACTGATTTATTTTAAACTGTCCACCTGAAAAAAGTTAATGAAAAATCAGTAAAAATAAAAAAGTTAAAAGATATAAATTCTGAAAGAATGTACATAACCTACAATTGATTTTATAGGATGAAGGGTAGGAGAGAGAGATTAGCTGAAGGTGAATCCCCCAGCGAAAGAGTGATTTTTTTATAGGATAGGGTGACAAACGAGCACACAGTCCACCTGATGGTAAGTGGTTGCTGTTGACCATAGACATTTACATCTATCATCGTTTGCGAATCAAAATGTAGATGTGTTGTCACCTGTGAGGACAAAGATGAAATGCCTCTTTTCCAGTAAAAAGGGTCTCCAGTTCTCTACACTCACCATACAAAACACAGCAGTGTTAAGCTGCTATTTTATGCTGGTATTTTGTGAGAGTGTGGTCCTTCCCCAGTTGAGCCGACCCATTCGTGCTACAACTATACTACTAATATGGCTGCAGCATGGCTATACCACGTGTGATGCAGAAGCCTAGTTTTTAAATAAAAATATCAATCAATGAAAATACGAAATATTTTTATTACAAAGATATAGAAATCCAAAAGAGGAATATGAATTATAATATAATATTATATATTTAATATAATATTTATAATTGAATTTTATATTATAAGAGTGGACTGAAAAACTAATTATTACACTTTATTTACTTTTTTCTTTATTATATATTTTATCCTTATTATAAATAATAACATGCCGAACTAGGAAAAAAATACAAATATTCTTTTTTGACATTGTTTTCCGATTGATATTTGATTGATTCCAGATAATTTCATACACAACTAGGTACTTTTGTAAATATTTTGTGATTCTATTATTTATTTAATTTAGCTTAACTTTAATAGGTAGGTAATTTTATAAACACACTAATAAGGTTATGAGACCTGTGTTTGTCATTTGTTGTAAGTAATTAAACATTTTGGAGGAAATACAAACTCTTGTATTATTTTTCTCTCATGATTTTTATTTTGATTCATTGACATACTTACCTACTTTTTAGCAGATAAACTTTAATTGAACTTACTACAATTTCAAATACAAACTTTTTCAAACTTTACCACAAATATAGTTTATATAATATTCACTTTTATTTCAATCTCATTCTGTCCTACTTTATCAATTGTTAAACAAAGAAGTTTACACTTTTTAATTTTGCTGGTTTGCTACCATATTGTATTCCTTGTTTGCTATCAAAAAGTAATAAAGTATACAACCACAGTCTATTCCTACAGTCAATGCTATGTCTACAATTTTAAAATATTATAAAGATTTCACTACATACATATTTATTTCTTTTAATTATTCATTGTTTTATAACCATATATTAGATTTATTATAACTGTAGGTATGAATTTGTTAGTAATATGCATTATAGTCATAAATAATGTTTTTTTTTTATAGGAGTTTATGGCCTGGTATCTAGACCTTTAGGCCAAGTCTTGAGTATTTTTATTCGGTTTATTATAAATAATTATCCTTCATAGTTCACTGCTTCACAATATGTTGATGCGTCACATTGTGCAGCCCTTGAGAGATTTTGACGGCAACTTGAGCCAGCAGACAGCTGTTAGTTGGCGATGGTATCTCAAGGCGCCTATGCAAACAAACAGCTTATCTTGAGAATCCATCACCATCAGAGCACTTGTTTCATTGTTTCCACTAATAGTTCACATGCGTAGACAATTAATACACAAAATCGCACCACTTTTACATATCAAAGTCCACTTCAAACCATTATTTAAACAATAATACAGGAGCAGCAAACCGCCGCTGATCAAGTTCCCGCCAAAACTCTAAATAATATGTACTATCATAATTCAATTGTAATATTATGAAGGTACTATATTTATTAGTATTTTTACAAACAGATTTTAAAACATGTATAGATCTCATAATAAGAAAAGGTAAAAAAATAAAATGTAATACATCAAAAACGAACATGTTTAATTTTCGTTTCCACAATGTATTTTTTTTAGACTGGACCTTTGAATGTGACAAATAAGAGATTATATTCCTCATAAAAATTTAGAACTTTTAAATCGACTGTAGGTTTTGCACAGTTCTGCCTTAAGCTTTGCGCATTCTGTAAGATAAAATACTAACCTCGTGAGAAATCCACACACAAAAACAGTTGGTGCTCATCTATAGCTGTCTCGGATAGTAATTGTTTTCGAACATTGCGAATTTTTGCAGATTCAATTTTAAAATTGCAAATAAATACAAAAAAGCAGCAACGTGACAAACGTCAATGCCACAATCCAAATCCACAAACACTGCACAAACACAAACTATCGTCAATGTCGTATAGTAGTAAATAAATAATAATACAAAATTAATATATTTCATCTATAATACAAAGAAAGGATCCCGGACCCGAAAGGCAATTACCATAGATAAGGTTATTCGATATACGTCGATACATCGAATTCATTTCACTCGCTGTTTACAATAAGATGTATCGATGTATTTTCATAAAACATCGAATCAGTGATACTTACATACCAATATTAATATTATAACTTCTAAATCAGTAAAACTAAAACATGCTCTAGTTTAGAAGTTATAATATTAAACCTATTAGAGGCGCTAGTTGGCAGCTGTCAGTCCCTTAAGCGGAATCAAGAATTTTTTTTCAAGAGGTCGGCTGGTTGGCATAACTCTGCTAAAGAAAATAAAAAAAATCGTCTGGGCTATCTCGGTCTTAGACCAATTAACCCAAGAGAATCGCCTCGCATGATTATTTCCCTCTGCCAAGGCATCGGATTTAAAAATCTTGTGCGTTTATAAAACCTGTTTACGCAATCATTTATATCATTACATTACGTTGTTTGATTGAGTGGGATGTCAGGAGGTTGACTACAGATTTGTAGTCTGAAAAATTACACGATTAGGAAAAACATCGATGTTTCTAACCGATACATCGGAATATGTCGATACACAGTCTCGATGCATTACATCGAAGAAAATCATCGATGTATTTTCAAAGTGGAAGCCCCTAACCATAGAGAAATAAATATGTAGGCAATGACAAACTGACAAAATAGGGGTTTTAAGTTTCGTTCCAAGGTCACTTTGAACTATATTTCTAAATTAGCTAATATAAATACATTTAGAAAGATATACCACTGAAAACTTGTACTACTTAATCCTATTAAAACAAGTTTTCAGTGGTATCTCTTTACTAATAAATATATTATATACAAATATAATAAATTGGTATCTTTTATATGTGTAAAACCATTAAGTTAAGTTAAAATTTCTAGTGGGCCCAAAACGATTTTCTTCATAGCTTACAGTTATTTTTGGCTTACTTTAAAGTTTTGATGACCAAGCAAGTTGTTCTAACAATAAAATATTTGAAAACCATTGGAAAGAATATTAGTTTTTAAAAAAATATTAACCTGTATATAGTATACTGATTATTTATTATTATTGATAATTCAACTTACCTTTTGAAACAAACTGTCTTTTCTATTTTTATATTCCAATTTCTCGTCGTATTAATAATTTAATTTAAGTATTATAGTAATATTAATGAATAAATACGAAGAGGATAATTAACCGTATCTAATACTCTAATAGTGTTTATTCAAGAATAATAATGGGTGGGCTTGCTCACAGTGTGACCATCTTTAAAATACAGATCCTGCCTTAGTTTGGTTAAAATCCTGCAAACGTTTATAGTGAAAAATACCTAAATACTGCCATCTTTATTTAACATTGTATAATTGTATTAAACTAAGAAAAGTAAAAATACACATTTAAATGCTATATTTTTATTAATTTTATATATTTATATATTTTTCGTTGGTTTGAATGCAATGCAATCGCCATGCTAATCAATGCCTTGTTTAATACGCAAAATAGAGGCTACATGTTTGTTTATATCTAAATCTGTTTCGTGTTTTTGCACTAATTAAATTTATTTGAAGGAATATTTTTTTAGGGAAGAGGGGGCAAACGAGCATGCAGCTCACCTGATGGTAAGTGACTACCGCCGCCCATGAACAACCGCTTTACCAGGGGAATCACAGGTGCGTTGCCGGCCTTTTAGAAAGGTGTAAGCTCTTTTCTGAAGGTCCCTAAATCGTATCGGTCCGGAAAAATCGTATACATTACATGCGTAATTCTTATTGAAAGTCATTTTTTACTTTACCACTGGTTCGAAAAAAACATCTGTTCTGGGAAGAACCAGCAAGAAACCCAGGGGGGCTTTTTTTAATAAATTTTACAATACAAAATGATTACAAAATATTTACAAAATTTATTTTAGAAACTGCTAGGAAGCGACCATCTCATTCCCAGGGTTTATTATCAACCATGTATTCATTTATACTATAATAACCCTTTTTTAAAATC